CAGGAGGAGTGCTTGGAAGAGGGTTTTGGGACAGATCGGGAACGTAATGTGACAATCTCAAGTGACAGTCCCCTTCCATATCTGCTCTCTGGGGCCAGAGCTCTGAGCGGGGGTGGAGGCTGGCCCTCCCGCCTTCCCCTTGGCAGTGAGGACCTGACGTTATGTCAGGTACATTCAAGCCACGTAACCCCAAGGAGTGGACACACCGCCTCCTCCGGGACCGAGGGAAGGAAAGAAAGGTATACAGACCATGACCCCTAGTGCACCAGTCCCAAACAAAAGCAACTTTTTCCTTCCTTTTTTCTTGGAGGACGAGGTGGGGGTAGTAGGGGATTGTTGAGCAAGGAGCTCCAGGTGTTTTGGACAGCTTTCCTGACGTGTGTGTGTGTGTGCGCGCGCGCGGAGCTCTCCCCACTTCCAGCCGCCTTAGTTGGCGCCGAGACTAGGAAGGGAAGTGCCAGTTGGGCTTACACCATAGCACCTTTTGGGGGCACACACGTACATATGGACACAGAAACATACACAGTTCGCGCTTGCCCGCGCGCAACTCACCTCCGTCGCCGTAGGTCTCCACGCCGTACCCGTCCTGCAGCCCGTTACTCCAAGTGCCCTCGTAGCGGGCGGGGGTGCAAAGGCTCTGCCGGACCCCATACCGCCCCTTGAAGCCGTGCGACCACTCCCCCCGGTACATCCATTTGCCTTTCGTCTCCACGCCCAGCCCGTGGCGCTTGCCCTGTGCCCAATAGCCCTGGTACGTGTTGCCGCTGGGCCAGGTGTAGCCACCTACCACCTCGAAGCCGTGCGACCAGGAGCCCGAGTACTCGCCCTGCCCCTTGGGCCCCGTGCAGATTCCGTGCCCGTGCGCTTTGCCCTCTTCCCAGCCGCCGCAGTAGGTGCCGCCATCGTCGAAGTCGAACCTTCCGCCCGTCATTCAGGGGGCTGCCCGGGCGCGCTCCGCGCTGGGGCACGAGGAGCTGCAGGGCGTACGCAGAGGCCGGGCGAGCGGGCGCGGGCGGGTGGGCGAGCCGACAACACCGCCCCGGGCAGCTCGCGCCTCTTCAGTCCCCAGCCCGACGCTGCCCTCGTCCTCCCTGGTCTTCCCTCCTTTCCCCGCCGCCGCCACCTCCTCCTCCAACTGCCTCCGGCACCGCGGGCGTAGCCACCGCCACCGTCTCCGCCACCTCTTCTTCTTCTTCTTCTTCTTCTTCTTCCTCCTCCTCCTCCTCCTCTTCCCAAGCCACCTCCTCAGCCAGCACTCAGCCCAAGAGGACAGCCAAGCCCCAAGCACGGACCTTCAGCTGCTCTCCGCCCACGTGAGCCAGGGCGCCGCCCCTTGTCCCCTCCCCGAGTTTCCCAGGCCTGGCCCTTCTGCGCCCCCACCCCTCAGTCCTCTTCTTCTTCCAACCCCAACCCCTCCCGTGGCTGTCGCCTCCCTGGCGGGAGTGGTCGAACTGGTTCTTGCTTGCAAGCGTTTGCGTTCACCTCTCCTGTAGCCTCAGTGGGAATGAGAGTGTGTCTAGCGTAGTCACGAGTGAGAATCGGTGTTTGTGCTTGTAGGTGTGCACGTGTGTCTCTATGTGTAGGGGCGGGAGGTGGAGGAAGCTCCTGTGTGTACGGGTTTGGGCGTTTTGGCCAGGTTAATCTCTCGAAGAACGTTGATTAAAAACCTACTGTGTGAAGGGTGCTATGTAAGGCAGTGGTCTCTGAATGAAACTCTTCTGTGTAAGCCTTTAGTTACGTCGTTTTGGTTTTAGTTCGTTTAGGACTGCAGTTGTTTCAGTTTGCCATCAGTTGCATATACGGCAATAAATTCATTATTTTGTTTGTTCAACAAATATTTATGAAGCGCAACCAGGTAACCAGGACTGCTAGGTGGCGCAGTGGTTAGAGCGGCGGGCCTGGAGTTTTGAAGACTTCTCTTAATGAATTCAAATCTGGCCTCAGACACTTAATAGCTGTGCGATCCTAGGCAACTCACTTAACCCTGTTTGACTCCATTTCCTCATCCGTAAAATGAAGTGGAGAAGGAAATGGCCAACCACTTCGGTATCTTTGCCAAGAAAACCTCAAATGGGGTCACAAAGGGTCGGACATGACTGAAAAACAACAACCACCAGGTAACCTGGGAAAGATTCAAAGTTGAAATGTCAGATTACTTGCCCCCAAGGAATTTGCAGTCTAGCATATGTAACTGCCATTAGAATAGTAATATATAACTATGCCAGGATTTCAGAGGTCGTCAAATCAAACCCTTGACTGAAATCTCCTTTAGAACTCCCCCTCTCATCCACACCTTCCACCTGGGGCTGTCCAGCTTGTACCTGATAACTCTTAGGATCTTAGAAAATTATAGATCTAGAACTGATCCAATTAGCCCTCACACACACCCCTCATTAATACCCTCTGCCCCTCTGTTTGAAGGGTGGAGCAATGAACTGCAAATCCTCTGCTTTAAGGAGAGTTCCCATGCCAGCAATCTCTTCATTTTTCACCCAGATTCTGCATTCTTTTGGACTTCTTTGTTGTTCTGTCTTTCAGTCCTGTCCATCTCTTGGTGACCCCATGGACCATAGTGCACCAGGCCCTTTTATTTTCCATTATTTCCTGAAGTTTGTTCAAATTCATGTTCAGTGTTTCCATGGTACTATTTATCCATCTCATCCTCTGCCACCCCATTTTCCTTTTGCCCTGAATCTTTCCCAACTTCAGAGCCTTTTCCAATAGGTTTTTGTCTTTGTATTTAAGCTTCAGCTTCCGTATTTGACCTTCTAGTAAATAGCCTAAATTAATTTCTTTAAGTATTGAATGATTGATATTGACTCCTTGCTGTCCAAAGGACTCTCAAAAGTCATCCCCAGTGCCACAATTTGAAAGCATAAATTCTGTGACACTCAGCTTTCCTTTATAATCCAATTCTCACAGCCATACATTACTATTGGAAAAACCATAGCTTTGACTATATGGACCTTTGTTGGGCAAGGTGAAGTCTCTGCTTTTTACTATGCTGTCCAGATTTGCCATAGCTTTCCTTCCAAGGAGCATACTCTTTTAATTTCATGGCTGCGTCACTGTCTGCAGTGATTTTTGAGCCCAAGAATACGAAATCTGACACTACTTCCATTTCGTCTCCCTCTATTTGCTAGGAGGGGACCATCTCCAGTTCTCCTGATCTATATCTTGCCACTGGACCCAGATGGCTCTGGAGGAGAGAGTGAAGCTAGTGACTTGGCACAGCCATCCTTTAATTCCAATTCACTTGTAAGTCATGGTATCACCTTCCTGATGTTATGGTCCTTTTAGGGAACTCAGGGCAAAGCCCAGCAAGACCATTTGCCAGGAAGTAAGGGACCACTTGCTAAGATCTTAGTTTTTTTACTTTAAGCTTCAAGCTCCTCTATTACCCTCATCAAGAGGTGTCTTAATTCCTCTTCACTTTCATTGGACTTCTTTGCTCTTTCCCATTATGCCCCCAGGAACCTCAGCATTGGGAAAATCTCATCATGCTGATAGATCTAATCAGCCTTGGTACTTATACTTCAAAAGTTGCTCCTTCCCTTGTGATTTGAGGGTGGAGCCATGAACTCCAGATCCTCCACTTGAGGTGGGGGACCAGGCCAGCCATTTCTTTTCATCTCCCATTCATCTCTGTGCACTTCTGGACTTCTTTGGAGTTCTCCATTATCCCCATATCCCCTTTACCTTTCTCCGTACCATTCCCCTTTTAGCTTCCTTTTGTGTGTGTGGTCTTCCCATTAGAATGTAAGCTCCTTGAGGGAAACTATCTTTTTCTTAATTGTATCCCCAGTGCTTGTCACAAGTACAGTGTTTGACACATTTTAATTGTGTTCAACTCCTCATGACCCCATTTTTGGTTTTCTTGGTAAAGATACTGGAGTGATTTGTTATTTCCTTCTCCAACTCATTTTACAGATGAGGAAACTGAGGCAAACAGGGTAAAGTGACTTGCCTAGGAGCACACTGCTAGTAGGTATCTGAAGCCAGATTTGAACTCAGGGAGATGAGTCTTCTTGACTCCAGGCATCACCCAGCTGCCCTATGTGAGTGTCACATAGGTATTTAATATATGTTTAATGAATGACTGACATGAGGAAAGAGAGGCTCAGGAAAATCAAATAACTTGTCCAAAGTCACAAAGGCAATAAACATTGGAGATGGAATATTTGAACCCAGATCTTTGAACTCCGGAATCAGTTCCCTTTCTACTTCATCAACTTGAGGAAGTCCATTCCAGATCAGCTGTTAGAAAGTTTTTTACATAAATCTGCCTCTACAACCCCACATGCTGCTCCTAGTTCTATCCTTTATACTTACTTATTTCAAAATATATATGGCTGAATGTATTTATTGGTGCATTAGATAAAAATGATTAAACACAGAAAAATTCTGTGGACTTAACTTTTTAGTAATTAGTAATAACAGTACTTTTTGAGTATAGACTTTTTATTCCTTTTCAAAGGCTGTTAACATCCGTTAAACTGTGTACAACCTTACAAACCTTTTTTTTATTGAATGTAAGTACCAAAAAAACTGCCAGTGCCAAATAACTAAATTCTATAACTCTAGAATTTTTATTTGTTACTTTTCCACATTCATTCAAAGTAGAAGAAATAAAATAGAAGCTTCCAAAGTGGAAGAAAATGCTGATGTTGACTTAATAAAGAAGAATCATAATCGACAAAACTTGTCTTTAGTATATGGGTTCTATTTACAAGTAGCCTATTGCTTTATTGAATTGACTTTGGACAAATCACTTAATTACTTTAAACTTTTATTTCCCTATCTCTAAAATGGAGAAAATTATACTTACTTCCTAATAGTAGCTAGCTAACAATTATGTAGCACTGATTTGAAAAGTATTACAAAGAATCAACATGGGTCTATCAAGAACAGGTCATCCTGTACTAAATTTAAAGTTTAAACTTCATTTCCATTTTTGACAGGTTAAAGAAACTACTAGGATAAAGAGGGATTTATTGTGGATGGTAAGATCTACCTTATTTGAGGATGATATTGTAATGAATGCATCAAGCCCCAGAACATTTCAGAGTCTTCTGGAAAAGAGCTTGCATTACTCAAAGGAATTTGATCCAAAGAAAGCATTAAATGCATGAAGACTGTCTGTTGCCCAAATTTCTACATATGTTTGAAGGAAATCCGTAGAGAGCTTGAACTTTAGAATGCAAGACATAAGGTACAGAAGAACAATGAGTTGGGGACAGAGTTGGACAGCATGAGGAAAATTGGATGTGTTGCCTTTGAGAAATTGTGAAGCTCCTTTATGGATCTCAAGTTTCCCTGAAAACGAAAGTCCAACTTTTTAATATAAATATTCTACTATTGCTATTATATGGCAATGAGCTATGGATTACAACTGCCTGCAAAGAAATAAAAGTAAATTATTACTTTGAACTTGATGGAGAAGCACGTGGTAGATGTGAACAGTGTGCAACATATACCCAAAGAGGAACATTAAATAAGAACAGGAATAAAAGATATCATCAAAGAATTATATGCTAGAAGGAGAAGGTAAGTTGCTCTCACAGCAAAAATGATGATAGAGAACCAGACAGCTTCATGGGTATCCTCAAAATGTTAGGAGAAAGGAAAACCTCCAGCACACTGAGTGGATTCACTGTGGCAAACTTATGGGAGCATAAGGATGAGTAGGATAGGATAGAAGGGCTATACTTGATCTCCTGCCTCGTCTCCTGTTTTTGAAGAAAGAGGAGAAATGTCATTTCTTCAGCTTTCCCCCCCGACAACGAGTCCCCTCATCTGAGCTGCCCAAGGCCTTGAGAGATTCCACTCTCAGGCCAGACACCCTAGGGACATTGCTCACCTGTCTGAACTTATTCCTCAATGATTAACAAACTCCTACCAAGTTTTACCCTCCCCATCACAGTGATTTTGGACTCCTATGGGTCATCATCCAAATCCCATTTTCTGTCCTCGGCTGCCTGATTCCTTATTCCTATTCCCCTCAACACAACACTTCTACCTTCCAAGTTTCACTCAAAGTCCACCATCCTTTCCATTGTTCTCTCTGAAAATAACTCTTCTATAGGCAATACTTTCATCTTAATCTACTTTCATCTTAAATCGTTTTCTTTGCCACTCCTATTTTTCTGGCTCTCATTGAAACTTGGCTGCCTCCTAATGACACAGTCTTCCTGGACACACTTTCTCTACTGGATACACTTTCACTCAAACCCCAGCACTCACTAGTTGAGGTGAGAGAGTTGGAATACCTTGCAGTTCCTCCTTGCCACTTCTAGGTTCTCCCTCTACTAGCAGCATAACCTCTCCTTTGTGGTTCATTCCATTCATTTCTACTACCCAATCAAAATTCCCATAGTTGTTTTTCTGCTGACCTCTAGGATTATCTCCTCTCCCTTCTTTCCTTAATGAATTCAGTGCCTAGCTAATAGTCTTTCTCTTCTCTCCAACTCTTGCTCTCGTACCAGTGGACTTCAGCATACGTATTAATACACAGATACCTTAGTTCCCCAGTTCTTTCACTTACTCATTTCAGATGACCTATTTCTCTACCTCACTTCAGCTGTATGGAAAGATCTTGGCATCATCCACAAATGTACCCCTTCCATGTTGATGAACTCTGCATAATCTATTGTCTGATCATAATCTATTGTCATTACCCCTCCTTTTCTGCCTTGCAACTACAAACCCTGTTCTTCATCCTCACAGGGACTTCCAATCTCTTGATCCTTCAGTTCTTTCCCAGGCCATTACTCCTATACTAGTTATACTTTCTTTACTTCTCCATCTTGACCTCTTAGTGAACCAATTCAGCTTTCTTCTTCTCTCTTCTCTAGTCCCTTCTCTCTTTCTCTTGTCAAAGATCTTGTTTGGTCTACCAAGCGTCATCCTTGTATTCCCACAGTCTGCTGCCTTCGCTCCCACTAATGTGCTACTGAATGATCCTGGAGAAAATTATGAAACTATAATGACTGAGCCTACTACAGATTTATGTTCCTTTAATACTTCCATAATCACCTCACTCAGGCAGCTAGGTGGTGCAGTGGATAGAGTGCCAGCCCTCAAGAGGAATAAGTTCAAATACAGCCTCAGTCACTTATGAGCTGTGTGATCCTGGGAAAGTCACTTGACCCTATTTGCCTCAGTTTCCTTATCTGTAAAATGAGCTGGAGAAGGAAATGGCAAACAACTCTAGTATCTTTGCCAAGAAAACTCCAAATGGGATCGCAAAGAATTGGACACGACTGAACAACAAAAATTACTTCACTATCTCAGTTGCCACAGTGACATTTCCAAATCTTTTCATTCTTCTTCAAATCTCCCATAAGTACCCCTCCTACCTATACATATTTCACTGAAAAAATTGAGGCAATTCAGAGAATTCCCTCTTTCCCCCTCTTCCACATCTTTGTTCATCCAGATGCCTTCTGCAATTATCTCCTTTTTCTCTTTCTCATGTGAAGATGTTACTCTTCTGCTTGTTAGGGCTAACCCCTCTTTATACACAAGTGATCCCATTCTGTCTCATCTTTTTCTTCTTTTTAAGCAGATTTCCTTCCTCACTAATTTCTCCCAGTCTACTAGCTGCTTCCCTACAGCTTGCAAATATGTCCATGTCTCCCCTAAAACAACAAAATACCTCACTTTATCCATCCATCTTCACTAACTGTCATCCAATTTCTCCCTTCCTTTTTTGTTGCTAAACTCCTCCAATAATTCAATAACTATGTGTCAGGCACTATACTAAGAGCTGGGGATAGAAATAAGAAAAATAAAGACAATCCCTGCCCCCAAGGAACTTACACTCTAATGGGGAAAGACAACACACAAAAGGAAGTTTGGAAAGGGGAAGGGTTTCAGGGAGTACCCAAGTTGAAGCCAAACGGAGTTCCAGTTAATGGAGTGGGCTGAAAATCCAGTTTGTGCCCTCTATGAAGGAAAGCTGTGGGAAGAGTTAAGTTTTCCACCTCCCACCATTCAAGTCAAAGGGAGAGGAGGCTGAGGAAGTATCTGAGTACCCAGGATTGAGTTAGCAGCATGAATGGGATTAGAAGAGATGAGCTTATCCTGGAAGGAGCATCTTGTTACATGAAGTTGAAATCAAACTGACCTGAAGATGGAGAGTAGAGTGACAGTTATCTACAATACTACCTCAACAAATATTCTTTTCACTTTCTCCTTAACCCTCTACAGCCTGGCTTCCGACCTCATTATTCCACCAAAGCATCTCTCTCCAAAAATTACCAATGATCTTTGAGTTGCCAGATGTAGTGGCCTTTTTTCACTCTTCATCCTTCTTGATCTCTGTAGCCTTTGACAGATGTCAATTACTCTATTATCCTTGATACTTTCTTCTCTTTAGGTTTTGGGGACACTGCTCCAATCCTTTGCTAGATCTTTGTGTAGATCATGCATGCTAAACATGAATGTCCCCAGGACTCTATCCTGGGACTTCCCCCCTCCCTTTTATGGTATTTCACTGGATAATCTCAACAGCTTCTATGGATTCAATGATCATATCTATGTTGATGATTCTCAGATTTACTTATCCAGATTTAACTTCACATCTCCAGCTGCCTAGTAGATATTTCAAATTGTATGTCCATCAGAAATCTTTAACTTAATATATTCAAATTTGGATTAATTATCTTTCCCCCTAAGCCCTCTCTCCTTCCCAAATTTCCTATCATTGTCAAGGTCATTGCAATTCTCCCAGGCACTCAGGGTGGTACTCAAGATGTCATGTTTAGCTCTTTACTCTCTCTACCCCTCTCCTATATCCTCAGTTGTCAAGTCCTGTCATTTCTGCCTTTGTGATATTTCTCATGATCAGCGTGCTGGAGCTCACCCATACAGACTCAAGACAACTGATTGTTAAATTTTCAGTGTCAGCACTTCTTAGAAATCAGCAAATGCTTCAAATTAGGGCTTGATTTATTGTTTTGTTGATTTTCTAGGCTTAAGAAAATGGTTGAAAAACATTAATAAATTAAGAAGAAATTAAAACTGTATCCTGAATGCTTTTTTTTTTTCCTGGAGGGCTGTTAAACATTTACCAGCACATTCCTGTTCGTATACTTCTGAGCCCTTCTCTTCTCTGATACAGCAACCACCCTGGTGCAAACCCTTATCACCTCATATCTGGGCTATTATAGTAGCCTGTTGGTTGGTCTCTGTCCCTTAAGTCTTTCTCCACTCCAGTCTGTCCTACACTTAGTTATCAAATTAATCTTTCTATAGATCTGACAATGGCCCCCCTCCACCTCCAATCAATAAACCCCAGGGGCTTCTTATCACCTCTATAATCGAATATAAAATACTCTTTTATTCAAAGTACTGAAAAACTCCCCTCCCTCCTGTCTTTCCAATATTCTTACACCTTGCTTCCTTCCCTGCCCCACAATCTGGTAACACTGGCCTGTTTTGTTGTTCCTAGCACAAGACACTCCTTTTCTATAATTCTGCATTTTCACTGGCTATCCCCCATCTCTAGACTGCACATCTGCCTCCTAGCTTCCCTGGCTTTCTTAGTGTCCAAACTACAGTCTCCAATTTATCCTGAGAACGGCTTGTTTGTCTATAGCTGTTTTCATGTTATCTCTTCCTTTAGACTATAAGCTTCTTGAAAGCAGGGACTGTGGGCCTTTCTTTGTATCACTAGAATCTAGCACAGTACCTGGCACATAGTAGGTGCTTAATAAATGTTTGTTTGTTGGCTGATGGCAGGCATGGAGAGTTATGATGTACATAGCCAAAGTAAATTTCCCAACTGGTATGATTACAGGTTTATTAGAATATCCAAATACTATTAAAAAAACAGTTTCCAGACTGATGGGAGAGAGAAATTCTACATGTAAGTATATATAGTTATATCTATCTATCTATCTATCTATCTATCTATCTATCTATCTATCTATCTGTATGTATGTATATACACACAACATGTTTATATATATAAGTTTTATATATACACACACACACACACACACACACACACACACACACACATATACACACATACATACACATGCACACATATATCCTAGATCTAAGCAGAGCATTTGGCAAAGTCTCTCATGCTAGTCTTGTGGACAAGATGGAGAAATTTTTGTTAGTAGATTGTACAGTTAATTGAATTAAGAATTCAAAGAGTTATTAATGGTTCCATGTCAACTTAGAAAGTTTCTATTGGAGTATACTACGAAGTTGTGCTTGACTCTGTTAACATTTTTATGACTGAACCAGAATAAGGCATATATTGAATCTGAAAAGATCTCAACAGGCTAGAATGTTGGACCAAATATCGTAAGATGAAGTTTAATAGAAATAAATGCAAATTCCTGCACAATTAAAAAAATCCATTTGTGAATTGCTTCCATATTAAAGGTGGGATTCTGTTTTGACAAGAACATTTGATGGACAGATGGCCCAGAATGAGAATTCAATCTAGATTGCATTAAAAAAAAAAGCATAATGTCTAGGGCTATGTTACTGATAATTGTGCTGTATTTTGCCCTGGTCTGAATATA